TAGGTGCCATTAAGAACATTTATGATTTATGGGAGGTCAAAATATCAACATTAATGGGAGTTTGGAAAAAGCTAATTTCAACTCTTATAGATGACTTTGAGGAGTTAAAAACTTCACTGGAATAAGTAACTGAAGATGTGGTGGAAATAGAAGAAAACAAGAATTAGAAGAGGAAGCTGGAGATGTAGCGAAATTGCTGAAATTTCATAATAAAACTTTAATGGATGAAGAGTTGCTTTTTTATAAAAGAGCAAAGAAAGTAGCTTCTTGGGATGGATTCTACTCCTGGTAAAAATGCTGAAAACATTGTTGAAATGACAAAAAAAAATTTTTTTAGAATATTACTTAAACTTAGTTGATATAGCAGCAGAGGGGTTTGAAAGGATTGACTGCAATTTTCAAAGAGGTTTTATTGTGGGTAAAATGCTATCAAACAGCTTTGCTTACTATAGAGAAATCTTTCATGAAAGTAAGTCAATTACATGGCAAAGTTCATTGTTATCTTATTTTAGAAAACTGTCACAACTACCCCAACCTTCAACAACTGCTACCTTGACCAGTTAACAACCATCAACATGTAGACAAGACCTATCTCAGTAAAAAGATTACAGCTTACTGAAGGCTCAGGTGATCATTAGCATTTTGTGGCAATAAAGTATTTTTAATTAAGGCATATACAGTTTTAAACATAATTCTATTGCACACTTAATAGATGATAGTATAGTTTTAACATAACTTTTATAAGCCCTGGGAAACCAAAAAAATGCATTTGACTCACATTATTGCAGTGGTCTGGAACCAAACTCACAAAGTGTCCAAGGTATGCCTGTATTGTAAACCATATATGGGTAAACAGGTCTCTTTTTAACCTCTCACAACTACTTATTATTATATCATAAGTATATAATATATTTAAACATTTATAAGCATGTATTCTTGCTTGATAGAGTTTTAATTTTAAAAATAGAAGAACAAAGACCTTAACCAAGTATATTGTCATTCAAAGATTATTTAAATTGAAAAACTTCCTAGCAATCTGGGACTTGAAACATTGTCTGCCATCTGCTTTTTTCCTACTTTTTAAAGCATTGTTTTAACAAGTGCTGATAATATTGTAAATCTGTAGATTTTAAAGTAAGACTGACTTCTTGATTTTTCATTGATTATAGCTATCTTCTCTGAAATAAAGCCATAAAACACCATATTTCTGATAATGAGGACTCTTATTCTGAGCTGAAGTTCTATGACATAGAGCTTGTTTTATGAGCTTCAGTAAGGGAATTGATTCACTGCAAAAATAAAAATCTAGATTTTTCTGGGCTCCTGCATATGATAGCTTCCAGTTCTAGAAGAAAGATGTACTACTACACCAGATTACTCCCTACTGTTTTCTCCTTCCCATAGATTACACTCACTTCTAAAAACCAAAGGGTTAATAGTAAATCGTGGTCATGATGTTCTTTGATTCCTTTCCAGATATGTTTACTTTTGAGAGAATTTCAATCCAGCATTTGATGTTTCCCTAAATTTGATCAGAATCTACTAAATGAAATTACTACTTTAAAGAATACTATATTTCTACTGAGGAAGAGAGGAGCAGAAATGAAGAAACGATACATTTTTAACAGTGTAGTGTTTCAAAGGAACACGTAACTCAGTCTTACTGCAGAAAATATATTTCAAGGAGCCGCTCTCATAGAAGATTCTGCAATTGTTTACTCAGTATTTTTGAGAAAGCTTTGAAATACATACATGCTATGTGGATTAAGCTATGACAAAAGTTATGATACTGGAATTGAACATCCCTAGGGAGTCAGATATAATTCCAGGTTTATTATTCAATGGATGCCAGATACTTTGCATATTCCATCAGAAAAAAATATATTTTTTTCTCTCTCATGCATAAATGTGTTTTAAATACAGATCTAGTTTCAACAAAGCTAAATTTACCTCCTCCCCCTCAGAGACCTACCTAAGGAACATCTATCTGTAAAGCCCCAAATGAATTTTGTCCTTTTGCGGTAAAATCCCCAGAGATTTAGTGTTAGTTATATATAGTTCCCAATAAATACCGTGCAGTTGTTTCTGAGTAATGTCAGTCATGAAAGGGAATTTCAGAAATATCTGGCACCAGGTAAGTTTGGATGATTCAGAAAAGCTATATATAAAATGCACAAAAAACATTTGCTACCAGGGATTTGAGTTAGAGGGTAGTTGAATTAGGAAGGTTCTGAATTATTTCACTCGTTAGAATTTTGAAATCAAAGGGATTTGCAAAACATCTTGAGGAAGGAGAAGTGGGAAAAAAATTAAATGCCATCTAGGCACTGAAGAAGAAGACTACATGATGCTATTGTGACAGTGACCAAAGATATAATGTTATAGGCAAACATATTTCTGGACAATAATAGAAAAACTTATTCACTCTCTTTAGATGGAGGAGTATTCCTTATTTTAGGAAGTAGTAAGACTTCCTAATGAAAATGAATTAGTGCAATATTTGGAAGAAATTCCAGAGATCATGTAGACTAACTTCTTGATAGCAACATCCATGACATATGCCATTTTCCCATTGATTGATACATCAGATGACAATGACCTCATTATCTACTAGAAAATCCTATCTACATGAATGAGTAACTTTACTTAAATCCAAATCTACCAACTATAATCATATTCATAATATATATATCTTTATGATATAAAAAATAATACAAAAGTCAATTTGCATGCATCAGCTATGTGTATTATTTCTAATTCTAAATATCTCTAATTTCATTTGTTTAAAAACATCTTCAAAATTAAAGAAATCTTGAAATCATCTTCCAGATGCATTCATATTTTTCAATGTTTACTGTAACAATTTGCTAGGGTATTTAAGTATAAGCAAAGGGACCATTCAAAGAGAAGACTTTTGAATATATTCACCCATTTATTTATATGTAACTTTTTTCTTTTGCTGTAATATAGCAGTGAACAAAATAGAAATCCCTGTGCATCTAAATTTTGCATTCTAGTAAGGACAAGAGGTAATGCTAATTTCTATGCAGTGAGGAAAGGCTAGAAAGGGAAATAGTGTACCTTGAATATTGGGAGTCTGGGAGTTGCAATTTTTAATTGAGAGGCAGGGGAAAGATTTACTTTTGAGACGATACTAAGTAGAGAACTGAAATCATCGATGTTATGTGGCATGGTATTACCTTGTGAGGAACATAGCAAGCAGCAAAAATGGCAAGTAGAAATATTCTCAGTTGCACACATTTGTTGAATTTGAGAAACCTCCAGTTCATATGAATGGACTGAGAGGATGAGCATTAAAATAGTGGGAAACATATTCAAAAATGTAAAAGGGTCCTAATTACATAGGATTTTGTAAACAAATATATAAATAGTGATGTTTTCTCTGAGAGAGATGGACACAGGAGATTTTAAGGGATGGCTAGACACATTTTTACTTTTGTTTATTTTAGAGAGCAAGATAATGGTAACAATATAAATGGTAATTGTGATAGTACTACATATTTTGCTTATTATATTACAGGTTGTGTGAAACAATTCTATGGTTTATTTATGTTAAAAGTCTTTTGCAATTGAGTAAAGTGTTTTTTAAAAATTAGTACTTTTCTTATTTTCTAGAAAATTTGCTATCTTACTATATTACTTTTTTGGCAACATTTGAAAACTTTTTCGCCAATTAAAACTAATGATTGTAAAAATGACAGTTATATGAGAAATACTAGGCCAAATCTTGCCAGAGGGAGAGCAATAAAGATAGAGGTACAGATGAGAGAGAGAGACAGAAGCAATCAAAATGAGAACTTTGAAAAGTTGTCATATAGGGGGAGAATTAAAATGCAACTAAAGATTCTGTAAAATAATTTGTAAAAATTCAATAAAATATGCAATGTTATGGTAAAATGAATAATTCAATATGGCAATTTAAAACAATAAATAATTGAGAGAAGATTCTTAAAAATATGAAATAAAGAATAATTTCCTTTAAAAAGCAGAAAGAAATAAAAGATCCCGGAGTCTTATGAAATTAATCAAGAAACTTCCAAGGTAGATCTATTTCCCAGAACATAGAAGAAAGGTGGAAAGCTAATTTCTCTTTTTTAAAAAATAGACTAATAAATTAATAAGGATTTCAACCTACCCAATTTAATTGTCCATAGCTATTTTGGCGCTAAAAATAACACATCAAAGTAAAACATACAAATTATGATTGTATATAATACATGCACTGGATATTGATAGCGTTTTGCTATACACACACAGAAATTTAAAGACAATAAAAAGTATAAGAATTAATTAGAAGTTAACAATGTTATTGCTTAAATGTTACAAAAAATCTTTTATATTTAACAGCCAGAAACAATTAGAAATATAATACAAAATGCTCACAGTCATGCTTTGTAAGTTCTAACTTTTTGTCCTATCACATCCTCTGTCCTTGATTATTTTGATTTGGAAAATCTGGACTTGCCAGGTTTACAGTTGTATATAGAGAAAGCAAAGAACCATAATAGAAATGTGTAATAAGCAGGTGTTAATATAATTTGACTATAACCCAGTAGACTCTTTTGAAAATACTTCCTGGAGGGTAGAAAATTATGTGGTGTTAAGAGAGTCAATGTTATTTAAACAGAGTTCATAATTTAAAAATTGGTTGAGGGAGCAACATCAATCATTAGTGACTTGCCTGGGAATATAGGGAGATACATGTAGATAGAATTTCCAGTATAAAATCAAGCCAGGCTAGAACTTTGATGCCACGTTTGCACTATGTTATCATTTTTTTAATTTGATTCAGTAATAGGTATAAGATCCTGCAATAGAATAAAAAACATAGTATAGGGTGAATTTTTTCTTGTGTATCATTTATATTGTGCAAAATAATTGTTCATTTTTTTCTCTAGATGAAAATAAATCTCATTATTCTTCTTGTACAGAATACCTTTAATTGGCATAAAAAGCAGTATGTTTTCTAACTGACCATTATGCATGAGACCAACAGATCCAGTCCTACACCAAGATACTTCATTCTCAGTGGGATTCCTGGGCTGGAATCTGCACACAACTGGATCTCCCTGCCATTCTGCTTCATGTACATTATTGCTGTCACAGGAAACTGTGGGCTTATCTATCTCATCAGCCATGAGGAGGCCCTGCACCGGCCCATGTACTACTTCCTAGCCTTGTTGTCCCTTACAGATGTTACCGGGTGCACTTCATTTGTCCCCAATATGTTATGTATCTTTTGGTTCGATCTCAAGGAGATCGACTTTAATGCCTGCCTTGTGCAGATGTTTTTCATTCACATGCTGACAGGGATGGAGTCTGGTGTGCTCATGCTTATGTCTTTAGATCGCTATGTGGCCATTTGCTATCCTCTACGCTATTCCTCTATCCTTACTAACACTGTAATTACCAAAGTTGGGCTTGCCACCTTCATTAGAAGTGTGCTGCTCATAATTCCATTTACTTTCCTGATCAAGCGTCTTCCTTACTGTAGGGGCAATCTCATCCAGCACACTTATTGTGACCACATGTCTGTAGCCAAATTATCTTGTGGCAATGTCAAGATTAATGCTATTTATGGTCTTATAGCTGCCGTATTGATTGGGGGGTTTGATATGTTCTGTATCTCCATGTCTTACACCATGATTATCCATGCTGTAGTGAATTTGTCATCTGCAGATGCTCGCCACAAAGCCTTCAGCACGTGTACTTCACACATATGTGCCATTGTCATTACTTATGTCCCAGCCTTCTTCAACTTCTTCACTCACCGCTTTGGGGGACGCACCATACCTCACCATGTTCACATTTTTATAGCCAATCTCTACCTGTTGCTGCCTCCCACCTTAAATCCAATTGTCTATGGAGTGAAGACCAAGCAGATTCGTGAAGGAGTAACCAAATTTTTTTATAGAGAGAAAGATATTTTGAATATGAGATAGACAGATACATGAGATAGGACCCCTCAAAAAACAGAATTATCTTTTGGATGGTGAGTCCCCTACTAGATAAGTGTTCTAGGAATCCATGAGCATCAGTGTATCAACTAACATTGCTGTGAGAAGCTGCATTCGGCTCCAGTTAATTTTTTTCATGTGTGATAAACAGGTGACTAGTTCTTCCACCACGACAATGCGCCTGTCAGTATCACTCTGAGTATTCAGTAGTTTTCGACCAACACAGCACGATCCTTCGTTCTACCATTCCTGTTCACCAGATCTCCCCCCAGCGATATTTTTTTTGCTTCACCAGATAAAAAAGCCCTCAAGGAGAAACATTTTGCTGATATGGAAAAGGTGAGACATAAAATGGCAGAAGCACTAAAAGGCATCAAAACTGATGAATTAAAAAACTGTTTTGCCAGGCTCGGTGGCTCAGCCTGTAATCCCGCGCCTTTGGGAGGCTGAGGTGAGTGGATTGCCTGACCCCGTAGGTTCAAGACGCGCCTAGGCAACTTGGCGAGACCTCATCTCTACAATAAATCAAAAATCAGCCAGGCATGGTAGCGCGCGCCTGTATTTCCAGCTACTTGGAAGGCTGAGGTGGAAGGATCGCTGGAGCCCAGCAGGTAGAGGCCGCGGTGGCTGGGAGCGGCCACTGTACTCCAGTCTGGGCGACTGAGTGAGACTCCAACTCAAAAAAAAACAAAACTGTTTTGAGCAGTGGAAAAAATGTTTCGATAAGTGTATATAAGTGTATTGCATCAAATGGAGAGAACTTTGAAAGTGGTAGAAGTTTAAACTTGTAAGAATAAATACCCAATTTTTATGAATAAATTACATTTTGGGGGGTCTCTTCTTGCATGATGTAGGATTTTGCATTTAGCTTAAAGTCATGGAGGAAGAGAGTAAATGTAAAATTAAAAAACTATAAGCTCAGGAGAAAATACCTGTGCATATTCTGACATAATTTTTTTTAAATCACAAAATGTTTTATTTAAGACATCTAATTTGGAAAAAAAAATAGGCAGAAAACAATTGTGCTATTCACATAATTTAAGCTTAGTTAGAACTCATGGTATGGGCACACAGAATAAAATAGATAGAATACCCAACTCCAAGGAAACTCTTGATGACGAATGTACTTTGATCTAGGTGCTGTGGGGAGTATAGGGAAAAGAATAAAAAAGTTTCAGGTAGACTAAAGAGACTAAGAAGATTGAGGAAATCACATAAGCTGTTTCTTGTGTTAAAAGGAAGTATGAAACACTTTCCCAGAATGTACTGAATTCCAAGTTTTGTAATCCGTTTGATACAGTATGTATGTAAAACTTGTATAATATTAGAGAAAAAATTATTTTCCTGCTCATTTATCTCTGACATTCTGCTTCCTGGGTAATTATCTAGTCTATATAAATGTACCTGTCCATACACAAATGAAGTTGGAGTAGATATGGTTACTGGAGTTTATCACAATCTGCAAAGTACTCTTTGGAGTTACTGTTAAGATAAATTTTGAAAAGCACAATAGATATCATTTGACAACCATCTGAAGAAAGGAGATAATTAGAGGAAAGGAGACTAGAAGAAATCTACATACTTTGCCAATCAGGAATATCTAGGCTTGGCTAGATAGCTGACTTTAAGGTAGAGGGAAAATTAAACTGATCAGGGCCAATGGAAAAAAGAATACATTGGCCTTCCATATCTATAGGTTCTGCAACCTCAGATTGAACAAACTGCAGATAAAAAGTATTTGAAAAAATAATACAACAATAAAAAGTAGCCCAACTAAAAATATAGCATAATTCTTTATATAGAATTTGCATTGTAGTGGATTTTATAAGTAATCTAGAGATTATTTAAAGTATAAAGAAGAATGTGTAGGGGTTATATACAAATGCTACACTATTTTACACAAGAATCTTGAAAATCCACAAATTGGGATATAGAAGGAGTGTGTCCTGTAACTAATCCCTCATGGATACTGAGGGAAGGCAGAACATCATTTAGATTTCTGAAAATAACAGAGTTAAAAGAAATAAGAGTGAAATGATAATTGTGGTATTCAGAAATAGCAAGACTGAATGAAATGTGATAAATAAGAGCATGATCCAAGCTTAATTGAAGTAAAAAATAGAATATGATCAAGAAATGAAAATGAACAGAGAAGTAGGTTGAAATATTAGTTATATTAATGATTTATATTCTTAATAACTATTAAATATATATTTAATATCTTGTATATGGTCAAATGGCTATAAAATATATGAATTATGGCATGCATTTTTGCAATAAAAATTTTGCATTTAAACGTAAAACATGAGGTACTTTTTTAAAAAGTACCTCTATGTAATGTACATTATAATTCATCAATAGTAAAGTTGCTATATCTTAGAACTAAGTTTTTGTTTCCTGTACGTTTTACCAGCTAATCTCATTAAAGTCATATCAAACACTATTAAACAGATCATGAAATTACTTTTCCTAAACTGTATTTTTAAACATACACTTTTTCCTGGTATTATAATAATGCTTCATATCTATGATTACATTGAACTTTTACTTCAAAACTATGAGATAGGTATAATTATCTCCATTTTGTAGAAGAATTGTAAGCTATACATGCAGCAAGACTGGATGAATCTTAGAACATTAAGGTTAAAATTTTTAAACAATCATGCTAATTGAACTATACTGTGGATAGGGTGTGGGGAGCAACAAAAATAGCAACAAATTAAAGCCAAAACATAAGTTTAAAAGCTTGGGTAAATAAAATGCAATAAATAAAATTTATCTGAGGCGCTTGAGTAACAATCTCCAAGTAATTTTGTAATTTCCATCATTACAAACTCAAAAATGGCTTTCATGATAAAAAACCTCTGAAAACAAAGATTCATAATTGAATTAGAGCCAGAGTCTTTGAGAAATTTAGAAATAATTATAATGTAGGTAGGCACAGGAAAGAAAAGTCTGGTCCATATTTATAGAAAAGAAAGGAAGAGAGAGAGAGAGAGAGAGAGACAGTGTGTGTGTGTGTGTGTGTGTGTAAGAAAATAAGAGAAAAGCCTAGGAAAGATGAGCAAGAACTAGAAAAAATAGTGGAAGACATTGCACTTCAAATCGCATCTTGTGCCCTAGAGAACAAGATTGTGACAAAAACCAGCGAGCTTGGTAAAAGAAAAAAAAGATCCCCAAATTCCTACATAAACCTCACACTGTTAGATCAGCTTTAGAACCAATGTATCAAATAACTATCAACATACACAAAAATCAACTCTAAATGAATCAGAGACCTAAACATAAAACCTCATACTATAAGAACCATAGAAAATTCAAGAGACACTCTTATGGAAATTGGAACTGGCAGTTAATTCCTCATCAAAACCCCAAGTGCCCATACCATAAGAGATAAGATAGACAAGTGGGACCTCATCAAACTGACAAGCTTCTCCAAGGCCAAAGAAACCATCAAGAGAGCAGCAGGGAGACAGCCCACAGATTGGAAAAAAATATTTGCCAACTCCATGTCCAACAAAGGCCTAAAATTTAGGATCTACAAGGAACTCAAATGTGCTGAAAGGAAAAAAACAAACGGTCCATTACAAAGTGGGCAAAAGATATGAATAGACACTTCTCAAAAGAAGACATATGAGCAGCCAACAGATACTGAAAAAAATGTTCAGCTTCGCTAGTCATCAAAGAAATGTAAATTAAAACTACACTGAGATAGCACCTAACTTCAGTCAGAATGGCCATCATCAATAACTCAAAAAATAACAGATGCTGGAGAGGATGTGGTGAAAAGGGAAAACATCTACACTGTTGGTCAAAGTGTAAACTAGTACAGCCTCTGTGAAAAACAGTGTGACGATTCCTTAAAGTTCTAAAAATCTACCTTCCATATGACCCCACAATCCCCCTACTGGGAGTATACCCAGAAGAACTCAAATCACTCTATAAAAAAGATATCTGCACACGTATGTTTATTACCTTGTTCACAATAGCAGGAACGTGGAACCAACCATGCTGCCCATCAAAAGAGGACTGGATTTAAAAAATGTGGTACATATACACAATGGAATATTCGGCAGCCATAAAGAAGAAAAAAATCACGGACTTGCAGCAATCTGGATGAACTTTGATGCTATAATACTGAGTGATCTTTCACAGAATCAAAAAACTGAGTATCACATGTAATCATTCATAAGTGAACTTTGAACAACTATCAAAATACTATAAGAAAAGGATTGACAGTAGCGGGAAACTGCAGGAGTGTGGTGGGTGAGGGGAGGTAGGACTGACAGTAGTGGGAATTTGCCTGGGGAAGGGAGGGCACACCTCATCAGCAAGGGTACCTGCACAATGAATATTTGTACCCCTACCCCTGAATTGTACCCCACAATTTTAAGATAAAAGATTTTAAAAACGTGTCAAATAATTCACACAGATATTTCAATTTAGTTAAATCATATTTCTTTTTAAACTATAGGAAATATTAGTAGTTTCAAAAAAAAAAAAAGAAAGGAAGAAAATGACAAGGTGATACAAAGTGTAGTGAAAATTATCTTGTTTCTACAGATCTCCAGAAACATTTAGTCACCCATTTCAAAGTGGCCACAGGAGTAAGTTTGCAGGGATTCTTCAAAAATGAAACAACAAAACAAACAATACAAGTGGGAGGACACAAAGTATATGAAGCATTCCATATGACCTACTTCCCCTCAAAAGTCTCTCCTAAGTTGTGTTTTGCATTTTACTGAATTGGCAAAATCAAATAAAAAATATTACTATAATTTTATCTCAGTCTTTCTCTAAGTTTTGTTTCATTATAAATTAATGAAAAATACACTTTTCACTGAAGTAAAAAACTACTGTAGATATAGGTTGTATTTAAAAAAAACACAAAAAACTCTTAAAGCTAATCTAAAGCAGTTTTATAGAAAAGCCAAAAAATGATCAAGATTACATAAAGATGTATAAGGAGCCAAAAGGATTTATGTCAATAGAAAGAGGCTTGTTATTTATCTGAGATTTTCCCCTGGTTCCTTTGGAGCAATTAATGTTTATAGAAGCTAGAGAATTGGGCATGCCTAATACCTGTGGGGTAATTTTATGCTGGATGGTCAAGGCATAGTTCTCTTTATCTAACCAATACTATCCTCATACACCCAAACGCTCCCTAATTTCCCAAATAACAATAGAGCACAATGCATTAACAGGTCAATGTGCATAAGGTTGGGGGTGCAAAATATGACACTGAGGGTGCCGCAAAGGAAGAATTGTCTATGTGATGTGGAACAATTTACTAAATATAGTACTTGAAGGTAAAATACTGCACCCCAGGATAGTGACAAGAACTCTGATTGCAGTTAAAACTATGAGTTTTAGGGTAATAAAGAGGAAATTTTAGAAGAAAGAGAGAAGGACAAAAAGCAAGAAGAGAAGGGAAAGGGGGAAGAGGAAAAAGAAAAATTCAGGAGAGGCTATCATAATCACAGTCTAAAATTTGCACCAGAAGACATAGGGAGAAAAACAGCAACAAGTTTAAGGAAAGGAATACAGATTTTGGAGTAAGGGAATAATTATTCTACACCTCAGTACTTCACTATAGGACTTCATTTAGATTAACATTCTTAACTTCTTGTCCTAACTCCAACTCCTGACATGGAGAAGCAAATGAGTGTTGTTATGAATAGGCCCTTAAAATTCCCCAAAAGTTTTAAAATGAAATTAAGATGGAATGATAAATAAATGAGCTAAGGAAGAAGTCAAGTAAAGTAAAACCACAACTGAGTGTGTTAGAAGTACCTGAAAATGTAGCTTGGAACAAATTACAAAGATCGGCCAGAAAAAAAAAAAAAAGAATCTGCTTAATCTGATACTGAATGATAAACTGGCATTAATC